CATGATGATCTCGGAGTATATGCTTGCGTCTAGTAGCAGATCAATAGGCCTAGAGATGTTGTACTCGGGATCAGCTAACTGTATGTGCTGCAAGTGTGGCCAGGACTCCTTACTGAACGACATGTTTGGCAGATTGTTGATGACGTGATTGATAACTAATGGTTGAGTTGTAAACTCATAGTCTTGGTAGATAGACTGGCATTCGAGCGTGACGACTCCCTTGCCGTACTTTGATCCATTTCCAATGCCAGATACAGATGCGTGGTACCGTTGTCGAGGCAAGCCCAGCATCTGAGCGGCGTTCTCAGAAATGAGTGAAATCTGAGAGCCTTGGTCTAAAAGACATCTCAAAGTGATGTAAGTCCCGTCAGAAGCTTTGACCCTGACAGATAATGTTGTCAACAGGATCTCTTCGTCATCTGTAGCAACGTGATTCACGCTATGTTGTTTGTTTTCGGATCGCGTTGAAACTTGAGGTCTTTGCGTAACTGGAGCTGTAGGCATGTGCGATGACGACCCGGCGGGCGCGTCGGCCGCCCGGTTTACCGCCTGTTGATTAAGGTTCATATTTGCGTATGCGTCATGTAGCATTGTGTTATGACCCTTTTGACAGACTTTGCATCTTTTCGTCGACGTGCATATGTTATCGGTGTGTGCGTACAGACAATTGTGGCAAATATTGTGTTTCTTGACGGCCATTAGCCGCTCGTCCGGTGTAAACTTGATGATTTTGCTGCATTTGTATAGGTAGTGATTATTGTTACAAATCGGACAAATTGACGAGCATGTCGCAACTACTTGAAATTCTCTGTTCGGGAATTTTCCATAGCGATGACCACCAGCATGTTGAAACTGAGGCTTATATGGTTTGTTGTTGATGATTTTCGGAAGGATAAGATCTATTTGATGATGTTGAGATCTCTCGTTCCTTTTTACCTATTGGCTCTAAGGCGTCGAATTTGCTCTCTAGGAAGTCCATTAGCTCAGAAAGCGATGGTATGTCTCGCGGCGATTTTCGTGCCTCTTTGTAGTCGATGTATGTTTCAGCATCTAGCTTCTTCGCTATGAGGTGTACTAGCAACGGATCCCAGGTACTTGTATCGATACCGAGGTTCTGTATGGCGTGGATACATTCCATGGACGTATCGTACGCTAATTGCTTGTGAGCGACGGGTTGAATGAGAAAAATCTCAATCTGTTTTGTAAATAACAGCTGGGGGTTGTTATATCTGTGTGTCAGCAATTCCCACGCTGTATCTTAGTTGTCTGCCGAGATGTTTAGATGCTGAATAAGTCGCTCAGCATCTCCTCGTAGTTTACCTTTCAGGTGCTGCATCTTCTGGGTTTTCGTGAGCAAGTTATTGTTATGGATGCTTTCTACGTAGAGATCATAGAATGTAGGACATTGTGTATACTTACCCGTGAATGTCGATATGTGGTGTCGATAACTGCTGAAAATGTAATGTAGACGCGAGCTTGAGATTCAAAGCCTTCTTGATGCTCTTGTACGAGTCTTCGTAAGCATAAAACTCATCGTCATACTGCGTATCCGAACCTTGGAGAATGTGATCGATTTGTAAATGCAAAGCGTCGATTGCAGCCCAGCGCGTCTGAATGTTACGCAATTCATCTTCCAGCCCCCACTTGTCGCGTATCTCATCAAGTCGCAAGCTATTCACTTATCGATTGAAAGCTCTGAAGTTGGTTCTTTGCAGAGATACCAATTCATCTGCCTGGCGACGATCTGTAGGCGAGACCGTTGTTGCATTTGACGTCGATGGCAGAGTGACTCTCGGCTGTAGTTTAGGTGGAGCCGTAGATGGAGTCGGCTGCGGTGTCGCTACGATCTTTGGGGAGACAGGTTCACGTGCAGGGGGGCAGGTCGATATCTTGATGGGCACAGTATCAAAGTACGTTCTTGCTTGTTGGTACTGATTTTCCGTAAAGTAAGGATCAGTGTCATTCTCATAGTAACTTATGGTTGTTTACTTGGAACTCGGCCCACAGTTTATCAAGGGCATCGATTCGCTCGTTCAATTACTTACGAGTCTTGCGTGTTGCGGAATCCTTGCTGAAGTTTCTCTCTATCTTCTTGATCGCTTCAACAATCTCCTGTTGGCGCTGAAGTAGACTCTCCATTATGCTTGTTCACTGTGTGACACTCCGAGGACGAAAAAAGGTACACTCCAAGTTCACTGCTCACTGAGTCTTAGCATTGTTCACTGTGTCGAATGTCGACGACAACTGTCCACTTTGATAGCAGCTGTAGCAGATGTTTGTCCAGCGGTCCAGGCCACTTTATATCTTCGCGAACCTAGAACGACCTTTTTTGCGCCTTCTCAATTAAACTGATGGGACCCGCTTCTGGGAAGCCAGTCAACCGATTCGCAGTCGCACAAAATCCACAAAGAAAATAAAGTGACGTAAGCGTAGGAACCACTGTACCTGTATTTTCCAAATGTCGATGGAAATCCACAGATGTGATCTTGTCTTTTCGAAGGACCAAAAACACTGTAAGGTGTATACAGTATATAAGATGAATGAGTGCAGATGGTATGCAAGGGAAAGTTAGTGTACGAAACAAATCCAATGAAAGTCGATCTAACACTGAATTTATTTTAAAGAATTATAAATTGATGTATAGGCAAAAGTACGGAAGTTACATGATTTCGCAAGTGACAAATGCATTGTTTCTGCGTGACCTAAATAAACGTTTTTTGTGGGGTTTTTATATATAGGACACGAGACAGTCTACTATCAAAGTCCCGGGAATTCCCGGGACTTTGATTTGAGTGTCTTTGAAGTGAGCCTTTTTTGAAGAATTTTAATTCAGTAAATTTCTGGTGAAACGTATTGAAAAAGGCAATTTTTTGTAAAAATCAACATTTATTAATGTTATTAAGAAAAATATAACTTATCCTAATTACTTTAACGTTATTTCAGTCTTAATAATTGCATTGTTCGTTTCTTTTAATCAGACAGTTTCACTTTTAAGCAGTTAAATCGTGTAGTTTTAAAATGAACCTAGTTAAGAATCATACTAATTCTTTATAACTTTACAATTATCTATTAATTCTAGAATCTTTCATTGGTCATTATAACAACATTGTTAATTCAGATTTGTTTCATAATTAATCTAAATAAAAATAATAAAATAGACTTATAAATCAGACTTTCAAATAATCAACTAACACATTGATTAGACTTCTTTGCTTGTTTAATAAAATAGGATTTTAAAAAAATCAGAGCGTCAGCAGCTTTGTTCGACAATTTGTTTCTTATTTTTGTAATAATGCCACCGGACAAGGAGAACACACACCCTCGTTGTCAACAGCTGATGTTGGTTTGATTGTGTTTAAGGATTTATACAGTAGTTCTAAACTTTTTGTACCTACGTTTTCCGGTTGCTTAAAGCAACTGAAACTCCTTTTTTAATTAAACTAACAGATGGCGCTAGGCTCCTTCAATTATTTGAAAATAAAAATGATGATTACATAACATTTTCGACGATCTTGTCTCGTCTCGAGTCTCGACCCGAAAGTCCCGGGACTCGAGACAACTAAAATTACGAAAAGTCCCGGGACTTCGAGACACGAGGCGTCCCGGGACCCAAACCCTACTTCAAGTACAACCTATTGGATTAAAAGGATTATTTATATCGGTTTAGACGATTCCGAGAAATCAGTGTACATAGGTATACAAAAAACGTACGCGTCGTATGTAGAACCTTCTATTTATACATTAATAATACGGAAATTTCATGATATGTCTAGATTAAAATCTCAGACAAATTTTCAGATGTTTTTAATCGATATTTCTATCGCTGTGTAAGTTGCAACGTGGTTTTTTGTTTGTTCAACTTTTATTTATTTTGCTAGCACTTGTGTATTTATTTTTAGTTGTTATTAGATAATTAAACCTTTATGCTCGGCGTAAACGGGCCATAAGCCACAGCCAAGGTGGGTTTCGCCACCTGCTGCGGTAGCCATCGGCGTTGAGTGACCGCAACTGGTGGTCAATGGCCGCCTTAATTTATAACTCAGTTAACAGTCGTATCTGCAGTTCAGCCTCACGATGGATTTCAAAGAGAAAAGTTTAGTTGCGCTACAGCGAATATGTAAAGACGTAAATGATCTATATTGGGCACAAACAAATTTAACTACGATAAAACAGTGGATCACTGGCAAGTACTCCACTCGTACTTTTGGCCTTTACGATCCACACAAAACACCTAGCAAAAACTGCTGTAGCGAGTAGTCTCCACACGTATGCTGCAAATTCATTCAAAAATAATGTAAACTGCTTTTGTCGGTAGCTCGTTTCTGCCCAGTCTTAATGCTTGATTTTTTTTGTATTTTTCTCGTTACATAAGAAGGTATCAATTATTTAACATTAGGCACCAAATAGTACGAATTAGGTATGTACCAAAATTAATAATATACTGCTTAAGCATCAAATTTTACGTCGTAGAGCCACGCTGCAGCTATATTATGGTTGTAGCACGAATGGGTCGGCTCGACTGGGGAAGGACCACGCTCTCACAGAATACCAGCGTAAAATAGCAGCTTAATACTGCTGTGTTTCTTATGGTGAGTGTAGAGATCAGGAGACCCTTTTTTACTGAAAACGAGGCATTGCATCTTAGTCCTAAGGGGTGAAATTTTTAATCAAGGATAAATGTAGATGTCTATGGGCCACAGTATCCACTTACGATCAGGTGGACTGTGTGCTCCTTTGTCACCCTTATTCTATGAAAAAAACATCATTTGATTGTATTACGCGGATCTTAGCTTATTAATTTTTAATATCTTTAAATACCACCATATTACATGATCTACTGAAACACATTACGGTTTTATTTACAATTGCTAGAGTCGAATTTCATTGTTTATTAAGATGGTAAAGACTTGCACTTGTATGCGTCCACATTTCTAATACTCCTTGATTTATAAGTGAATTGCAATTAGTGAATTAGCTAATAATAGTTGAGAATTACTTACCCCATATCTTAAGGCAGAACATCCTTCCGCCGTAGGTTTGATTGTGGATATTTGATCACCATCAGCATTTATATTTCCCCATTCGTTCGTACAAATCATGTATTTGTCTATAATAACTTGTAAGTCAGGAAAATCTGCATATATATCCTTGCATTTCTTTTTATTTAAAATTTGCGTTGATGCATATCGAGGCTCCGTTTGAGTATAAATCGTGTCATCCCCGGGCTTTAAAACGAAAGGATTTATGTAAAATAAGCGAGATTATTAACTTGATAAGTTTCCTACGGTATCCATCCTACTATCCTACGTTAGCATCGTGTTGGAGTTACACACCTCGGCTTGTTTGTAGACAGATTTATCTTATGCTCGGCGGCGATATAAAATACATTGGGGAAATCTGAATGGTCGAAAAATTAAGTATATTTCGAGTACATGTGACGACAACTTTTTACTTCTATTTTTTTGTTAGTTAAAAAATGTAACCGTCGTGGGGGCAGTTTACAGACATACAAACATCCAAATCCGGAACAATTTTTTGTAAGCCATGCAAATACTTGTTCCGTGCGGGATTCGAACCCGCGGCTCATAACGCTGCTACTAATTGCTAAGCCACTACGCTGTGGAGCCGTCATTATCTCTCCACTTTAAAATTCCAGCCTCATGTTAGGATTTACCAGGAACTGTGTTACTGTGGAATTTACTATGGACTTAGGGACATTCATGAAAAAATCCTACTCCTTTGTTAAGAGCCGGTAATGCACCTGCAAATCCCCTGGTGTTGCAGATTTTCATGGGCAAATGATGTTCTTTTACCATCAGATGGACCGGTAGGCATGCTCTTCCATAGAAAAAAAATCCACTACCTTTCACTAAACCACAGTGGTAAATTTTCTATTTTTTAGTAAGAATAAGGATGACAAACGAGCACACAGACCTTTTGATGGTAGATGGAAGCCGTGATTCATAGACATCTAGATCTATCCATACAGAATCAAAATATAGATGCTTTGCAGCCCTTAGGGGTCTCGTCATATACAGATCGAAGATTTGGTTTTTGTAACGCACTATTTAGAATACAGCAGCATTATGTTACTATTATACGCGTATGTCCTCTTCGAGGTGATCACTTAAAATAGGAAGTTTGTATACTGCTGTGGACACTGCAATACTTTGACACTTTGTTATACAATCATCATCACGTTTAGTGCTGAACATAGGTCTTCCCCAAAGAATGCCAAGAAACACGGTCCTAAGCTACCTGCATCCATAAGTATTATATAACACTTGGCTTTAATTTACATTGTATACTGTATCATAATAAATATGTTCAAGTTATTGCGAGCTTTCGAGACCAAAGTCAGCAGTGATGCAGCGATAGTGTGATGGCGTGGTGGTTCACAAGCATTATAATCACACCAAAAAGTGATATGGACTAATCTGCAATCGAAGCAGTGTGACCCTTGAGTCGCCTTCGGCTGAACGCTATCTGCTACTATCCTTATAGTCTTCTTCAAATTCGTGGTTATATGTATGTATATAGTCAAATAGAGTAAGACTAACATAGTTTCCTACCAGACAGAATATAAACTGTTTTATAAAGAGGTTCTTTGCTCTACTTTTGAGGTATAAATTATATTGATATAACAATAAAATAAACTTTTATATGCTTTTTAAGATTTTTGCATAAGTGTTTTCAAAACGGTAATAGTGAAGAAATGTAAAACCGGAAACACTGTTAGTTTTACCCCGCTACCTGGCGTAAGACTAACAGTAATGTTTTAACTTTGACGTAAGTACTTTATGCAGTTTCTGAAGTAAAATCGTAAATGGTACATTAGTAAATTTTACTTTGAATCTTAAGTTTAACGTTAAATGGTTTCCTTTTTGAGTTATTTGAGTAAACGTATATAAGGGGCAAGACTAACATAACATACATTAAAAATCAGGGGTACCAAATAATTTTTATTTTGTACACATAAAGTATAGAATACAATTCAAATTCATTATTGCTATGCTCTAAAAGCTGTGGTAGCTCAGATGGTTAACGCTCGCTGTAAATATAACACGAGTAACCCGGGGTTCGATCCCCGCCGCCACCAATGAAATTGTTAATTGCAATTTTCAGTGCTGATTTACCACGTGCTCGGCGGTGAAGGAAAACATCGTGAGGAAACCTGCATGTCTGAGGAATAAGAAAAAATATTTGAAAGACATTTGAAGTTCGCCAACATTGGGGCAGCGCGGCGGACACTTCGTTGCCCTATAACCCTCCCAGAAATGAGGCGAGGTCTGTGCCCAGCAGTGGGACATATATAGGCTGTAACTTTACTTTTTTATGCTCTAAAAAATTTGTTCTTTCCATTAATTTTCCTCTCGGTAATATTAATTTTAGTTTTACCAAATTTTATTTGTGTACTTTATGGTGACTATAAGTAGCGATTTCCCTCCCACTTGGATTACGTCCGGATCTTAAGCTATTGTGAATGCGTAATATTTGTATTTACTAATTATATAATTAGTATTGTTATATAAAGCTATCGTATTATAGCTATCATTCACTTGTGATGTGCCGGATGCAAGGAATAGCACCACTCTATTTCTTCTTATGGGTGTTGTAAAAGGCTACTAAGTGATTCATCCGAGCGAGAGGTTGCAACGTACATTAATTCGTTAATTGCAGCCCGTCACAATTCCACTGTTAACGTGGGACCTCCCTCAAGGAATGCTATAAAAACCGTCACGAACCACTTGCATCCATTGACTTCCTGCATATCTCACCACGTCGTCACTCGATCTAGTGGGGCGTGCGCCCATCAATCTTTTCCATCAGTCTTCTAGCTCATCATTCCCCATGCCTCACTTTATCCTTTAGGCTATGTCGTTTGCTTTGGTTCTACTTCGTATAACCTCACTTCTAAGTTTATCACGAAGAGAAACTTCAAGCATAGCCCTTTCTATCGGTCGCTGAGTGACATTATCCATGTTAATCTTAACACCTATCCGTTGGGAGACACTATTTAGGTCATTGAGCATAGTGCTTAGGTCCTCCAGCGATTTTGCCGTATGGAACATATCGTCGGCAAATCAAGGATTTATTTACCATTGGTGTTACAGTATTAACATCATCATAAAGCATCCCTCCTTTTCAGTCCAGTAGCTTAAAAACGTTCTCTTAGTATTAAACAAGCATACTGCGAAACGAAAGCAGTCCATAGCAGGGTTTATGTTAGCCAGGCGGCTATTCGAAAAACCGTGAGCAACGTGGACATATGATGGAGTGTGAGGAAGATTATATGGTTAGAAAGTGGGTGAATACTGAGATGATGGCTGATCGTGATTTGTGGAAGACAACACGCTAAGTTGACGCCGAATAAATGGGGATAAAGTTAGGAGAAATATGATAATAACGCGTGCTATCTGATTGACATCGGACCCGGAGGTACACGTACGAAACGGATGAATAATTATAGTTAAATGCCATTTCAATGACGTTGTTTAATATCGACTACCACCAAGATTTAAATTTATTTTCGTTTTGGATGATAACAATTTCAATACACTTTTATTTAAGCGTCTTATCTCCGTTCCTTAATTAATGCACGCGTACTGTACCTACATTCATATTTTTCGCGTTATTTAAGGTCGCTTCTTACGTCACTCACACGACGTGGCGGGTGACTATTAGCGCCATCTAGTATCAAGTAGCGTCACGTCGTCACGTCGACATACTAAAACTTGTCAAGATACTACAGAGTAATTTTCTTGCTCCGGTGATAGTCTTAAGCCGATATTACAGGGTTCAATCAAAATGAAACAATTCCATTGAAAAGCGCATTGAATTGCACATTGGAAGACTTACCAATATACACGTATATCATTTAAATGACATTCAATGTTCACAACGTATTGTGATGTCGCACCAACTCGCACTTGTGGGAATTTCGTTAATCTGTGACCAATGATATTATAAGTAAAAAGGTGTAGATAGGTTACCTACACAATATTCGATCTTCAAAAACGGCACACTAACGCACACATAAATAACTAAATATTGCAATAGCACACTACATTACGATTAGACGTCAAAGTAGGATGGCATCATTAAACTTTCGCTAGCGTAAAAGAGACAAATGTAATTTGCGACAGTGCATGGTCTTGTGTAGTAGGAACGATGTAGAATAATTAATCAGATATGACATTATGCCGTTCACCCTGATTTATGCCTAAAACACGATTCACTCATGAGTGCAAGTAGTAAAAGTAATAAAGTAGTAAAAATGCATTAAAAGTAGGAAAATAAAAAAGTATTGATTTTATTAAAAATTTATTATCAAATAAAGTGCAGTAATAATTATTTATATACGAACGTATATACCACTTCGTTACGCTACAAAACAAATAAATTGACTTTATTATTTAATAATGACATAGTTAATTTACCCTTCAATAAAACAAGAATTATATGTACACAATTTGAATTACGATACTCAGAAGAGACCTATCTGTTTTTTATGTTCTCTGATCAGAAACAATATCACTTCTCTTTCAAACTCACTCATTAGGGTATTTTTATCCCTCTCTATTTTTTCTGACAATATATTTCGTAAACAATACGAAAATAAATTAAGAAAATAGTAAACGAATGAAATATAATTCCTTTTGACTTTTGGAAACCTTTCCTGTGTAGTTGTGCAAATATCATACATATGACGGCATTTTCGGTGCAAAAACAAAACATGAATTACTATCAACGCCGTTGTCAATGACGCGACGATAGCGCGACGACTAAGTTCAGGTTTGCTAATTAGCCTAGTTTTTACGTGCCACTTGCGGTGCGCGTATAACCTATCTACCTCTTTTCTTACAATATCATTGTCTGTGACTATTTAATAAATGAGTTAAATAAAAGAAAATATCGGCGTTGTTGGATGTGCCCGTGGATTTTGAGAAGGATAACTAAAGGAGCCTCAAGCACCTTATTAGTAGAATTGGCAGAAGAAGATCCAAATTCATATTTCAACCATTTGCGAATGACGGAAAGTCAATTTAATGAACTTCTTGAATAGGTTACACTTGTCTGACTTAAAACCCATTTTAAACAGCCATGTGCGCAGGCGAAATAGGTGCGCGTGCGTACTCTTCGCTGTCGTGTGGCGCGCGGAATGAGTGACCATGATCAATATTGCCACAATTCCATTGAAAGGGTTCGGCGAATCTCAGCTTTCAATGAGATTGCGCAATCGCATTGAAATGTATTTAGACGTAAACCGAAATTCAACCGTGTAATATCGGCTTTACCCCACCCGACCCTATATGTTCTGTATACTATATGCACACAATCTAACCGAACGTTCTGTATACAAGTACAAAATCATCCGAACAACCAACTAACCGTCTTAGTTTTAATAGCACGACAGTCTAGAGATCTGATAATGAGATGCTGCTAGTGCATTGCCTACAGACAATCCGAAGTAAATAATATCACCCGAAAAACTAATTCTTAATTAAATTATTTAGATCCATCATTATGTTCCAAGAGGCCTATTACAGCAAATCTATACATATAATAAAACAGTAACGAAAGAAAAACTGTACATTGAGAATTTTCGAGAAAAAATAAGTGGCTTTTGTTAGAAAAACGTAACTGATGACAAAAAGTGACTTTTTAGAATTTTTGTCTGTTTGTCTGTGTGGTGTATGGTACGGCTTCACGCCAAAACTACTGGATAGATTGAATTGAAATTAAGCAAAAATGTTCTTTGTAAACCAAGGAAGGCTTTAGGCTACATATTATCACGCCGTGTGTTATAGGAGGTAAGCAGTATTGATTTTAAAAGGTTTTAAAGGGTAGTAGGTATTTTAAAGGGTTTGTACAAAATAATTGACATGTTATTAGTTAAAATAAAAATAAAAATTTAACTCTGGGAACATAATAATCACGCTGTTTTTATAAAGGAGCGGGGCAGTAATATTATAAATTGCAAGGGAACAGCTGTTTAACAATATGTCAACGGGGAATTTAGCGGTAAGGTCAGGCGACCGTTTACCGCATTAAATGGTGCGAGTTTAAATCCCATAATATTGTTTTGATAAATCGTAATTTTTGTTTAATTTTTGCACTTTTTATGTGCATTAGAAATCTGAGAACTTTACATTCAAGTATGTAATTCTTAGTTTTGTGCCCTGCTGCTGTTACCATATTTTTAATGCAAAAATAATGTACTTGTCTATTAAATTAACGACAATTTAGTTTTAATTCATAATTTAATTAATTCATTTGGGTCATCGAGCATTTAACCTGAAATAGAGCAGTATTGTTATTTATTTTGTAAGAAAACAAATTCCGCCAAAACGTTGCGCCGGTCGCTGCGCTCTGATTGGCCGATTCAAAGTCAAGTATTGCACTAGAGCTGCCCAATAAAATATTTGTTACCGTAAACCGTAAAAATCGTAATCGTAAGTTTAATATCTATCTCGCGAGTATGTAAACTGTTGAAAGATTGTGAACCTGTAACATACTGCTTACAATGTAACGCATTATTTTTCGGTAGATTGTAATAATATATCTTAAAATAATATATCTTATGTTGAAATTATTCAAAAGGTTGTTTTGAGCGAAAGTTGTTATAAAGCCTAATCTTTTTTATGGTTTCGTACCTGAAAAGGAAAAAACGAAACCCTTGTAGGTCAGGTAAGTATTATGGGACCAGGTAAGTAGGTACATAACGGATTTATATATAATTTTTATTTAGGACTATTAGGTAAGAGTATATGGAGGTGTAAGTACGTGTGTGTATGTTTATATGTGTGTTCGAAATAATAACTTTTAAATGAAACTTCCATACTTAAAAAAATATAGTAATAAATGAAATAAAATTGAATTTAAGGCTATAAATGAAATTATAAAAAATTAATGAAATAAAACTATTGTATCATATGAAAAATTAAGGAAAAACTCGCAAAATGTCAATATTTTTGTTTATTTAGTTATCGATCATAGCTTTGGTAGGTATAATAAATTCAAGATTTAAATGCTACTTATGCGTTACTATTACTGATTTTTAAAGTGAATTAATTTAGTATAAATTCTTCTCACTGCTTGTTTCTCGTTATATTTCTTTCTTTTGCTGAGGAATGTTAGTCTCGTATCTACATATTTTTTTATGATACTTTGAGCTAAATCAGTTATATGGTTTGTCTCTTCTGTGTAATTTTGGTGGTACTCATATTCGGGAAATAGTTTTTCTCCTACAAAACTACTCATTGTTTTGTGAACTAAGAAGTCACTTGTACATCGTCGTACTATGTCTACACTCTCAATGAAATTTTTTTTTATAAATTGCTCCGAACGGCGGCAAATTTTTTGCACATTAACTGATGGATATATTAAGCCCCCCCTTATCTCTGTAAAAAATTAAGCTTCTCTTATTTTCTGACAAGCATACTAATGCTTGCACGCAAGTGGCGCATTTAATACGTTTAATTAGTGCGCTAGACACATACCCTGCTATGTATTCTATCACATTCTCAGAAAACTGCGAAAGCTCGACAGCTTCCATCCGAATATTAAATTCTTCTTCGTTTTCATGATCATCAGTGGAACTCTAAAGCCCAGCGACATTATAACATATATAGGAATGACGTCTTAGCAAAAGTTGTTTAGTCTGATGGGCATTTCCTGTTGACTTACAAAAATGAAAGATCTGGAACATCTCGAATCGTCTCGCGCATCACGTTGTTTTCCCATCCTCGGGCTCTTAGAATTCGACATCAGACGTTTCAGATCTTCGATTTTGACGACCCCGTTGTCGCTGGCATAAGCAACATCATCCGCGTACGAAGTAATAAAGTTAAGTAAGCTAGTCATAATAAAGTTAAGATGGATGGTATAATAAGCGTTTCGTAAGTAATTAATAACGAACTTACTTGCCTCCATTTCTCCAGATGCCCCCATCCCATCACTAGGGCGTCTACTCCGGGCTCTTGGTATTTGGGATCATAATTAATATTGATCTTATTTGGTTTATATGAACAAATCTCTTGGTATCTGTTATCGTCGAAGTTGTAAGGCGACTCGACTTTGACTACGCCTATGTCTATAGCAGACCACTTTCCTACATTACCGTAATCAAACTGGTAAGCTAAAAAAGAAATTAGCGAACTTAAATTTCGTAAAGTGAACCAAATATTTAAACATTTCTCTATATATATGGTATCACTCTCATGTCTATTTTTGCCGTAAAGCATTTTTTTTGCTGCTGCTGCATTCTAGTTGAAAAGGTAAAATTGCCAGTAAAATAAAAAAATGACATTTCATCTTAGTTCTTAGTGGTCGTTAGGAGCCCTAGTAATATTTTATCATCTGTTGAACTAGGAGAGAAGGAGCCGCGGTAACTTAGGAGCTAAGCGTTCGCTGTAAATTCCAAAGTATATTGAGCAACTAGGGTTCGATTCCCACCGGCACCAATGAAATTGTTAAATCCTTCCTCTGCTACGAAGAATATATCTTGAGAAAGCCTGCAAATCTGAGAAGTTATTGTCCGTATAAGTCCGCCAACACGCATTTAGGCAGCGTAGTTGATACTACTTGCCCTAAAACATTAGAAACGAAAGGAGGCCTGTGCCTAGCAAGATTTTGCTGCATCATATTCTTGATAATGTGACACTAGATGGCCCTAATGGGGTTCTGGAAAGATCTTGACGCACCTATTCCTGCAACTCGATACTAGATGTCCCTAATGGGGTTCTGGAAAGATCTTGACGCACCTATTCCTGCAACTTGATACTAGATGGCGCTAATAGTTACCTGCCGTATAAAAGTAAAGTTCCAGCCTATATACGTCCCACTGCTGGGTACAGGCCTCCTCTCATTTCTGAGAGGGTTTTAGGGCAAGGAAGTGTCCGCCGCGTCGCTCCAATGCGTGTTGGCGAACTTCACATGTCGTCGAAATATTTTTTTCTTATTCCTCAGACAATTTTAAGTGCTGATTTACCACGTGCTCAGCGGTGAAGGAAAACATCGTGAGGAAACCTGCATGTCTGAGGAATAAGAAAAAAAATATTTCGAAGACATGTGAAGTTCGTCAACACGCATTTGGGCAGCGCGGCGGACACTTCCTTGCCCTAAACCCTCTCAGAAATGAGGGGAGGCCTGAGCCCAGCAGTGGGACGTATATAGGCTGAAACTTTACTTTACTTTTTTTACTTTATTCCTCAGACATGCAGGTTTCCTCACGATGTTTTCCTTCACCGTCGAGCACATGGTAAGTGCTGTAAAATTGCAATTAACAATTTCATTGGTGCCGGCGGGTATCGAATCCGGGTTACTCGCGTTCTGCTATATTTACAGCGAGCGTTAACCATCTGAGCTACCACAGCTCCCGCCGTATACCGGGCATTAACTATGGCGCACAACAATAAAAGTATAAAACTGCGGTTGCCAACCCATCTAGCAAGCTTGGCAACTATGGCGGAATTGGTCTTTAGAGGCGAAGCATGAGTCATATTATCGATGGTGGTGAGTCTTTCCTAATGTAGTGGTGTTAGGATTAATAGTGACGGAGATATTGCATATAATTGATGGAAGGCCTAAGGTGCTCTTTAAGCTATATAACACATCATTTTATTTTATTAGAGGATCTTAGCTATTTTATATTTACTTGCTTACCGGAAAGGAACGCCTGATTATATTAATTATTCATTTGTTATATTTTTTAACTACTATTGTCAACCAAATCTAAGAAATACATTTTGACAGCTGTCAGACTTATTGCACCAACTATGCCAACCAAAAAATGGAAACGTACAAAATTCGATTCTTTAAAAAAATCGATGACGATTATTTAGAGTTGGTAATAATTTACAGTTTGGTTTGATAATACCAGAATAAATAAAAAACGCATAATTTAAAAAACAAGATTGATCAGTTTCTTCTTATTTGTTGTTACTGCTTATTTCTAGAGGCACATTTATAAAAATTTAAGATTGAAACTAGATTAAAAATAAATTTATTCAATCACTTTCAGTACAACTAGTTGAGCTGTCGTTGTTTAGATTATTATTTGATTTTCGATAATGCAGTCAAAATTAATGTCTCTTTCAAAGTCATCCATAATCAAATTTTTTTGTTTTTTATACCACTTTTGTCCAATCATCCTTTGTGATATGGGCACATGCTTCAACGAATATATAAGAAATAGTCCAAAAAGTTAAAGCTGAGCAACAAAATAAGAAGACAAACACAAAATTACGCATAGTAAGCTCCCGAAATGGCGGAAGATTGAAATTACGTAGTAGTTTTTTCAGCACTGCCTTGAATATGAATTTTTTTGCTTACACAAATTTGCGTTCACAAATTTAAAAAAAAAAACTTGTTTTGTTCATGATTGATGAATTTTAAAATAAAATTAAGTTGAACAAATCATACATTACAAAAATAACGATTCCATTATTTGAATATTTTTACCGATTATCTGAATATTTTTGCCGATTATTCACATAACAATGAATTTTAATGATCCAAACACTACGGTAAGGTACATAGCGACATATCATTGAAACGACGTCAAGTAAAAAAAACCGGCCAAGAGCGTGTCGGGACATGCTCAGTGTAGGGTTCCGTAGTTTCCCGTCCGTCACAACAAGTGTTCCCACTTATGAGTTTAAAGGTGGGTATCCATTATGCTCGCGCCCCAGCAGCGCTCCGCGCACCTGCAACTGCTCCCGGTAGTGGGTACTGTTGTTTCCATCCAAGTTCAAAATGATTTTCCTAGAAAGTCCTTATAAAGTTCTACTTTTCAGATTCTTTTCATATTTTTTAAACTTATGGTTCAAAAGTTAGAGGGGGGGGGGACACACATTGTTTTTTACTTTTGGAGCGATTATTTCGAAATTACTGACATTATCAAAAAATGAGTTTAGTAAACCCTTATTCATTTTTAAATACCTTTCCAACAATATATCACACGTTAGGGTTGAAATTAAAAAAAATCATTTCCCACTTTACATATAGGGGGGCTACCCTAATAAAACATTTTTTTCCAATTTTTATTTTACCACTTTGTCGGCGTTATTGATACACATATTGGTACCAAATTTCAGCTTTCTATTGCTAACGGTCACAGAGATTAAGCGAGGACGGACAGACGGACAGACCGACATGGCGAAACTATAAGTGTTCCTAGTTGACTACGGAACCCTAAAAAGGTGATACTGGATATTTTTTTAGTATCTTGCTTTGTTTGAAAGATGCGAATTTAAATTAGTGATAAAAACTATACACGAGGTAAAGAAATATACATAACTTTATAATTCTTCGGATTTACGGAAAAGGTTATTTTAAATGTCGTGAGTACGCTTGAGCAAAGTTATTGCGAAATGATTGAATGTGAAACGTCAAAAGGTATTTCTTAGATTTGGTTGACTATAATCGGACTTCATTTTCGAAATCACTTTAAAATAAAAATACTTACATTTTGGAACACACGTATATACAATTTTCTTTTTCATCTCTTTTGTACACTTGTCGTTGTCAACATCTGTAGATGGCACGTACTTTTTATATCCTGCGATAGCATATAGATATTGAACATCTTCTATGCAAGCGGCTGCCGTTACAATATATTCAGGACTCACGATTACTCCACCACATGTCCAACCACTATATGCTTTCTCAGATTTATCGGATTTTATTAAGTACACCTGAAAGTTGAATATAAGCCACTTTAATAATTTTTTAAATTAGAATGGAATGGAATAGAACAGAAAAAAATAGAACAGTATATAACAGAAAATAACATAATGGAATAGAATAGAATAAAATAGAACAGAATCGAACCAAATCGAATCGAATCATTTTATTCAGATACTACTTTTATAGATATTATAGATTACAAGCATTATTATTGAGAGTGATTTAAGCTTTACAACAATTCAATTGCTACTTTGATTATTAGGCACTCCAGTTCATCGTTGGAGATCGGCTTAAGCTTAAGGCTGTTTATTTAATAACAAGCAATCACCGCAATTAAATTGCACACAAGCAAGTAAATTGTTAATTGTAATTTTGGTACTGATTTACCACGCGTTTGTCAGTAATGGAAAACATCGTGAGGAAACCTGCACGTCTGATAAATGCAATAAGTAATACGGAAGTAATATTAAATATTGGCATCTGATGTCGCCGTAAAATAAAACTATAACGCCATCGTTTCATCGCATGGGCGACGTAAGAAGCAACCTTAAGAAAGCCAAAAAGACCGTTAGAGCGTTAATCATTACGTAGATGCCAGATGTCAAAGAGGTTTAGCATTGTCAAAGGTGCGAGCCATACTGCGTTCGTCAAGGGTGCCGAATGTGACAACTTCGCCCTACAGTGGAAGATGCTCATATCCAATAGTAGACTAGAATGATCTATAAAAGAAGAAAAAGAATCACTGGATATAGTTCTCATAAGGAATACAACTTAAATCAGTTTTTTTATTTTATTTTATTGGATAGGGTGACAAACGAGCACACAGTCCACCTGATGGGCTGCGGCCCATAGACATCTACATCTATCCTCGATTACGAATCAAAATGCAGATGCGTTGTCACCCGTGAGGACTTAGATGGAATGCCTCGTTTCCTGTAAAAAGGGTCTCCGGTTCTCTACACGTACCATAAGAAAAACAGCAACTATTTTACGCTGGCATTCTGTGAGAGCGTGGTCCTTCCCCGGTCAAGCCGACCCATTAGTGCTACAACTATACTACTAATATAACTGCAGCATGGCTCTACCACACATAAACGTTTGCATTGGAATGCAGTTTTATCGACCTGCAACCTATTTCAAACAAAGATGGCTGTGGTTGTGTTGTTACTACTGCGCACTACTATAAAATATGTTATTAAATAGCTGTAATAGTGTGTAATAAATATGTGGGAAATTTTCTTTTTACTTTTTATATCATTACGTTTTATATCTATATTTTACTTTTTGTATCATATAACTCAGATGTCAAATTTTAAAAATAGAAAAAGAAAACTTATTCTTTATGTTTTTATTTCTATTAACGTAAATCCGTAAAGTTATTTTTATTCCAAAGCGTGTGCTAAAATCTTCTGACACATTTCTAATAAAAAAAAAATATTTTAGTAACGGTATCAAAAGAGGAAAATATTTACCAAATATGGCTTGTTTGTTTTTAATTCCTCGCCGCCTAGGATTCGCCTTTGAGAACGCAAATCTAAAAGGTCGCAGAGAATAAATATAAATTTTTTACTGTTATATTAATATTATCATAGCGTGAAGGAGGTAATACTTCATGTTTGCGTACGAGTCTGACTGGTTAGGTACCATCCTCTTGACTATTTGTGCCACCAGAAACATTGCAGTTTTTTTACTTATTTATTAACTACCCTCACGGCTGTTTTGAAGGGTATAAGAGAGCCAGTATAATTACATGTTGGGCATTTCATCTTGATTCTCAGAAAGCGCATCTGTAAGCTTCTTTACTTGTGGTTGGTTGTAGGAGTTCACGTTAGTTTGTTTCTAACTTCAAGTTTTATAAAGAAAAAAATCTTTAGTGGCAGGGCAGGGCGCTTTATTTGATGCCAGGTTTTTATTTACAGAATTAGTGTGGCAAACAAGCACACAGTCCACCTGATGATAAGTGGATGCTGTGCCCTATAGATATCTACATTTAACCTCGATTAAGAATCAAAATGCAGATGCGTTGTCACAACTGAGGACTAAGATAAAATTCCTCGATTTCAGTAAAACAGGTCTCCGGTTCACTAAACTCACCACACAAAATACAGCAGCATCAAGCTGCTATTTTACTCTGGTATTCTGTGAGAGCGTGGTCCTTCCTCGGTGGAGCTAACCCTTTCGTGCTACAACCATATGGCTGCAGCGTAGCTCTACTACTTACAAAATTCTTAGTAGAAATACTAAGAATTTTGTAAGTAGTAGAGAGAGATAATCATTTTTGAAAATCACCTTTTTAAAATATAATACTAGTTAAAATTAAAAGTTGCCAAATAAATAGTTCATCATAAACACGTACCTCCTGTGTAATAAAACGGATCGTTACGGAGAAGGAAACGTTTTTTGAATATAGGAATCGAGCTTAGATAAATTTAATAGTATGTGAACACAAATTAGTTTTCCGGTGTTGGCTTCTTGCATTTTTGATTGCCTCTTTCGAAAAGATTGGGGCAGACGAGTAACGTGAGGAAATCTTGTCAAATAACTAAATGGACTCTTTCCTGGTTCCTCTCAAAGGAGGTAAGGGCCCAGCGGTATGATATAGGTCACAACTATCTATAACAATTATTCCTATAAAATTTAGCTTATAAAAGTTTACTCCCGAACCATAGATTCCCATAGACTAACTCATAGGGGTGATTTTGTTATAGTTTCCACGCTTTGCAGGCGGGTTGGCAATCTTTTTTTTTAATATTTTTTATACTTATTATTTTAATTCCCGACGTTTCGGGTGCATTACAGCACCCATGGTCACGGGGGGGACTGAGACGTTTGACGTCACAATGTCATAGTTAGCCCGGATACCTTTAGTTTTTTAATATAAATTTTCGGTCTGATCTACGCGATATTTTTTATAATTTTGAATGATTTTAGAAAGACGCTGCTGACTATCTCCCACCCCAGTTTTCTTCTGCCGTTTCTTACACCCACGGGACGGTAAGAGGTAGTGGATAATCTTAAGCCGCGCCGCCACTACTTGGTACCTTGTGACCTCATGCGGGTAAGTTATGTACCACCAGCAGCCTGCACCAATATTTCACTTTTACTACCCGGCTACTTTTAATCGGTCGCGGTGTTTACTTAACTATTAAGTAAGGGACGAATTTAACTATATTCTAACACTACCTATATATCTAATTGTAACAGCTCTTCAGGGATTATAAAATGTACATTTTTTGCCGACTATAAAAAGGGAACAGGCTCTCAGTTCAACTTGTTTGCCTCTTCTTCAAAGCTATTTATGTTTGTTTTGAACTGAAATACTTTAAATTTTATCAAGTTCATCTTCAATTTACATTTCTATCTATTTTAAACCCACAATGGTATGCATGAAAAACTTACCTCTTATTAAGATAATAATTATTAGTACTTGTATTATACTGGCGTATGTCATGCTGCAAATTAACGTCGCTATTCATATAAGTTCCAGTACAGTGGGATTCTGATTATATGGTCGGTTGGAAATGTAAATGGAAGTCATAACGTTGGTATACTTTAGTTTTATATACGTAGAAAATTAATGAACCGTGGTTGTATAGTGACTAAGCGCTCGCCGTTGATTTTACAATACGCGAATAACCTGGGTTTGATCCTGGCGGCATCAACGAAATTGTTAATTAAACAATATGCAAAAAAATCTGCATGTCTGAGAAATTAATAAAATATTTCGAGGACATTCGAAGTGTACATGTAAACTAAAATAAAAAACAAGAGGTCTATGTTTGCATTGGAATGTATTATAGGCTGTAACTTTCTTTATTTTATTTTATTTAGGAATATATTTACTCAAATCGTTCATTCACAAAACGTTACCTCCATACTAGCATTTTCTCCTGTATGTAATTTCAAAAGGACCAATATTCACACAAATATTTGTTCCGTGTAGGATTCGACCCGCGGCCTTTAGGGCTGCTACTCATTGCCAAGCCACTGTGCCCCGGAGCTGTCAAATATTGTAGAGGTCGAATGATAATTATGTGCTTTGGCCGATTGTTGGAAGAACATTATAATTCTAGAGGCAATACGCCTGTAGTATATCGACCGCGGCGTCAAATTTAAACTCATTTATGATGTCAAAGTAATAGAGAACAAACATACAGATCTGAAAATTTCACCCTCATTAAATGAGGCAGTCGCGTAAAAAATTATCAATATAATATTAAAGCATCAAATTTTTCAAGGAACAAATATATTTTTTTTAATCAATGATTTACGAAGCTCATTGAATACCGATTACATAGGAATTTTATTTTATGTTGAATATTCAGGAAACGGCTTTTTATGACTTGTGAAGCTGAAGATAAAACCTCAAACGAGCATTGAGTTCATTTTCTTCCCTCCGTATTTCATATAATTTCAAGCTTGATTAGATCTATTCAAATTTTTACGAATATATAACAATACTGTTTCCAAATTACGGCTTTTATGAGAGAAAAATTCGTTCTTTTCATCAGGGTAATTTTTTATTAAATGAATGTTTTTCGTTATGAATGCTTAAATTATTATTGAGTTGAAAACAGGTTTGGAAAGGCAAAATAATAAAGATTTATTTCAAGTCAAGATCATTTAATAATAAACATAAGACTGTCAAGTATGTACCGGTACAAATACAATACAATAATACGCTTAAAGGCAGAACAAATTAATAAATAACAAGAATTCATTTCAAATTAATGTATTATTGTTGTGCATTGAAGTAATTATGTACTTACGTACTAGAACAGCTATTTCAAACAAAAAATGTGCGCTACTCTGTGTTCGCGCGGTTGGTTTTTTTATCATAGAATAAACTAAGGTAGAATGATCAGTAGCTAATAGTAGATTGTATTGTTAAATAGGTGAATTATATCGAGACAAATTTTTAAATTTTTTCATTTATTTTGTATATTATATTTACTTAATTAATATTATATTACATAATATTGTATCACAATTACATTTTAATGATATTTTATCTGAATATTTTAAAAGGTATCTATGTCAAATATAAAAAACGTACGGAATGTATGTTTATCAAAATTTATTAATATAACATTTAAATTACAAATATATTTATTACAATTAGAATAAGAGTCGTTCATAAATGCTGCACATGCGAGAATTAAAAATGGACGAATTTATTCCACTTTGACTTTGATGTGGAAACCTAAAAATAAAATAAAAGAATAAGGGGCAGATTTAAATATAAAAAATTTAACCTAATTATGATAACTTATATATGTTTCTACAAAAAATGTGTATAATATATTCGTCCCATACTTAAGTACCCACAGAAATGTCGCAACTGAACAAATTAATTTCATAATCTACATTCCATGACATGAGATGGCGTCTCAGGAATAATTTGTTTTATTATTAATTTTAATACTTTTTTATTGATTAAGTATCTTATTAACCGATGAAAAGTAATTCCTTGGTTTTTACTGACATTTCTTGAATTATTTGTACGTATCTATCTCAGTACCTAAGTACACATGACGGCAAATTTTTATCAAGAGATTTTTTTTAAATCAACACAACACATGACAACTCTACAAGCGCCTACCTAGCGAGTGACTGATTAAAGTGCGGTCTAAGTACCGCAGTTGAATGGAACAGAGTAGTTAAATGCAGTGTCGCCTGTAGCCTGTAGTACGTAGTACATAATAGATCCATGTTGTCGTGATAGTTCAGGCAATAAGCGATCGCTATAAATTCCACAGTATGCGACTTCGATTTCCTGCCGGAAGCACTTCTTAATTGCAATTTTAAGTGTTGATTTACGATGTACTCGGCGGCAAAGGAATACGTCGATAGGAAAGCGGCATTAATGAAAATTAAAAAATAGTATTTCAAATACATATGAAGTCCGCTAACGAGTATTGGGTAAGCACGGTGGACTCTTCCTAGTCCAAAAACCCTCTCAGAAATGAAAGGAGGTATGTGCCCATGAGCGAGACGTATAAGCTGTGACTTACACTCATAATAATAATAATCATGACCACAGTCTATCAAAGTCCACTGCGGAACATAGGTCTCCCCATAGATTGTTTTAAAAGGGCGCTACTTGCCATAGTTGCCCGGCTTGGCAGGCGGGTTGGCAGCCGCAGTTTTGAATGTGAAATTTCTTTAAAATAAAGGCGACACTAAAAAAATACATACATATAATACATCAATAGGATTTAGCCTGCGAGAGAATGAGATAGAGCACAGTATACAGTACTATTATTTCGGTTTTCTGTTTGTGCGTTGTTTCAAGTTGTTTCAAGATGATTAACCTCTCGTCTGTCCAAACGCCATATTCTGGCGTCTCAAATAATATGCGCATCTGTCAAACGCCATAATATGGCGTCGAGTGATAGCAAACTATTTGTAACATATATATATATATATATATATATATATATATATATATATATATATATATATATATATATATATATCTTAGTATACTTGTTATATACTTACTTAGTACTTCGGAAAGTGCTCGACAGATGCGCCATATTGGCCAAAATGACCCCGATATTCGAGTGGTTTTTTTTAACTTTTTAAAAAATTAAGAAATTTTTAAATTAATGAAATTAACCACATTGATTAAAATTATCATATTCAATCAAATCAAAAAATTGATTATATAACTTACCGACTTATATTAAATTAGTCGTGCTTAGGCCATCTAGCGTCTATTTTACGTACCACCTTCAGTCATAGTAAATTTTATTCGATAATATGACTACCTATAGAATGAACTAGACAACGCTATTGCAAAGCAATTTTGCTTGCGATTTTCGGGTTTCATTTATACCACGTGTGAATTGCGCAAATGTTTTATTTATTTTCTAGTTGTTTTAAGAAAGACGTTAATGTCCATCCTGGTTTTCACTATGTCACATCTTTCGACACCAGCGAGACTATATATATATTATACTATATATATATATATATATATATATATATATATATATATATATATATATATATATATATATGTTAACAATGCTATAAACATTAATAATATTCCCCTTGACCTCTTAGTAAGCTTAAATTGCTTGTGTTACGAGTGGTTCACGCCAGTAGTCGAGTGGTGGATTCAAACCCACGACCTTTTTGAGTTCGCGGTCCGCGCCCTGCCATTAGGCTACTGTCGCTACTTATGGAGTAGTATATATATATATATATATATTGCCGTAGGTGATTAATTTATATTTGAATTGTATCTTTTGTGGAAAAATCATTTTCCCTTATGGGTTGTACATTACAACAACAGCTCGAAGGCGAGGACCAGGAGGCAAAAGAGCAAGATCTGGTACTGGGCTCAGCAATACAGCTGCGATGCGCGTCGATAATGGCTAATCCTCCCTACAATAAAAAAGAAGAGAATAAAAAATACAAATGAAGATTTACTTGTCCAGCGGTGGACTGTTGTTGTTATGATGATAATAATTAAATTGAGAGAGAGTGATATGCGGCCTCTTGGTGTTCTATAGCATACATTTCGGAGAGTTTGCGCAGAAATCATATGACTTAATTCCTCCCTCCTCTTTCCACTATCGGAAAAACCGGCAAACAGGCGGTCAGTGGGTTTTCACCCCTTTGTCGATTATCCACGCATTCGTACATACAGTTTTTATCGTATTTCTTCATGCGTTGCTGTACGCATGAAGAAATACGATAAAACGGCAGTGTAATTATTTGCTGGCGTCTGTTTGCCGCCCGATTTCAACAAGGCAAGAGTATAGAATAGGCTTTTGTTAAGCCTAGCGTCGACTACAGCAGAAACGCGTCGAATCGAAGCGAGTCGTATTTATTCCTAGTGCGTCCATCTCTGATGAATCGAATCGAATGGTTCATTCATCGGAAACTCTTCATCAAATTAAGTAGTTTTTGCGTCATAGATAGCTCGGATGAAGAGATGTTTTTATTTCAAATATTTTTTGATGAAGAAGAGGAGAATAGAAAAAGTAAACGGCGTGCTCCCAAATACTGGATACTCGAAATTTATATGAAAAGAAATAACTATGACAAATTTCATCATTTATGCTAGTAATATATAAGTCAATGCATTTATGTTAAGATTTGAAAAGGGATCCTGTTAAATTTTTTCAATATTTTCGTTTATCCTATGAAAAATACTTTAAAATTTATCCTATGAAACTTAACAGCTATCAAAAATTGGTCTACTCGTTATGGAGTTTTGATGAATCCTTTGAAATGCCAAGCTATAGTTGTGCGTAGCTCAAGGATGCTGGCTAAGATTAATCTAGCAGACTTACTTCCTATTTATTACAATGATAATATAATTCCGTTCAGTTATTCTGTAAAAATCTTAGCCTTCACATTAACATCACGCTGAATTAGAGAACTCAGATTTCAGAAGTCGGTCGTAAAGATATTGCAACGATATAAGTTCTTCAA